AAAAAATTCTGTTTTAATATTGAAAAACTAATAATTAATGAGATATTTGAGGCTGTTTATTTTTGGAAAGTTTGGCAATATTTTTATCTATTATTGAATTATTCGACAAGTCATATTAGAAACACTATAATATTTAATATTGGATRTACAGATAGTATTCTAAGTAATTTTGTACGTAAGATAATTTTTTGTCTTTTCAACTACAGTAATTTTTTTATTTTTWATATATAATTTAATATTTTTTTTTCATTCTTGGAGCCTTCATGAGCCATGCATGGCGCCTCTTAAATGAGCTCGCGGTACCCTTAAGGTGCGGCCCCACTGGGAGCGATTCTGCGATTCTGCGTTTCGAGCGTTTYTGCGATTAATCGCCGAATATCAAACTATTTTGTTCTTTCAGCGATTACCGCGCGTGTAAAGCTACACGCGGCACGCGCTCAGTGGGGCCACTACATATGAGTTACATACTTTTGTTAAAATCGCTAAAATGCAAAATCGCTACACGCTATCGTAAAAACGCAAATCGCTCCCAGTGGGGCCGCAGCTTTAGAGCACCGCGATGCACAGGTTGGGAACCGCTTCAATAGGTAATTTATGGAAAAACTGTGGCACACCTAATGGATAGTTTGATCCAGTTTGAAAACCATTGTACTATGGCAAGAATAATAATTGTTTGAGTTGAATACTCTATACTCAAATGATAAATAATTAATAATTATTAATTGTATATAATTGGTAATCTACGAAAGTAGATTTATGATTAAAATTAACTTAATTTTTCATAATTAGGTAGGTACCTATGTACTCTATAGACAGTAATTGGTGATTAAAATAATGTACACATAAAGTACAATATATATTATATATTAATAGTGTGATGCATGAGAATTAAATAAAAAACAGGTTTTATACAAACGGCATTTTTTTTTATTTCGCCATACTGAATTTTTATCAACGCGTTCCATATATTTTGTGCAACAATTTGGGGCGTCGAACTTTTACCTGAAAATGTATGATATTTTTTTAAATTTTATAACGAAATATCAATTATTAATAGGGAGTCAATGATTGTGTAAAATATTCTATATATTGTGGACCACCTTGGTCAACACATGCTAGATGTGTAAACTATAATAATATATACAGCTGCAGGTGTATTTATTTGTCGAGTGAAAGTGTGCGCGAACTTCATCCTAAGGGGCGTTATCGCGGGCGTTTCCGCGGAATTTTGCAAAAAAAAATTCAATATGTTACCACATTTTTCATCATAAAAATAGCGTAAAGTAAGAAATTTAATCAATACATATCATATTTTATCAATATAATATTATACTCAGTACAAAAATGCAGCTGTAGGTATGTTCGTAGTCATCAGGTTATTATTACCGCGCCCGTTAACTGCTTTATACAGACCGCAAGACCGCAAAACGTTGTCGTGCTTTCCAATGTATAGGTAATAGGTGATATCGTTAATAAAACCAATATTGGTTTTTTGTTATTATTACCCATTTAACCTCTACTGGTTGATAATAAGCATCTAAAAACTATCGTCTATCATAAGTTCGAAGTACTCGACCCGGAGTTTGAAGCCGCAATGAAGTGACGTTAAAATGGGTCGTGGGGAAATTTTATGAGTCGTCACTCGACATCGATTAACTAATGTCGTAACAGCAATGTTATATTTTATGACTATTGCACACGAAAAACGTATTAATTTTCTACGAATCACCAAATCATAATATAGGTAAACACTACACTAGGTACGACAATAACGTGGATTTACAAACAAGTATTTAACTACGTGGGTGTCAGTGATGTGGTATCGCGTTATCCAGAAATGGGTTTCTAGTTCACAGGTACAAATTTCGGTACTACACTGTTTGTGTATGTAATTTGTATTATTATATTTTATTATAGACTTATTATACAATGATTAGCACATACCTATTGCGGTTACTGCGGGTGCCAGTGCACCTCAACAATTCGGGACAATTCGGGTTAACGAGTAGATATATATATATATATATATATATATATTACGAAATATTTGATTATGCTGCCCATCAATTTTATGATGATAATAATTTGTACTGTATTATGCTTAAGTTAAAACAGTGAAGGATGCAATCGCTCGGTAAACCGTTCGAATCATTAGCCCGATATCGCGGTTGGATAGACGACGTGTACATATTTATTGTAATATTATGTAGAATATGATAAATCTTTATTTCCAATGATGAAATTATACCATTACTGTTGTCGCTAATTTGATGTATTTGATTAATGATATGCTATTCGCTCTGCAGCGCTTAGACGAGGATGTAAAACGCGCATCTACGATTGCACATTTAAACAGACAATAATAATATATTAGATGTACTTATTCAATTAAAAGGATTAACTTATATTAATAGAAGGAAACTTGCAAATATTATATTAGATATTTATTTAAACAATTGCAAAGTTTACTTTTAAGATTAAATAATGAAACTGTAGGCATCATTTTTCATATTTTTAAAAGCAACATTAAAAATTAAATATATCACATCATGCAAACAGTAATAAAGCTATGTAGGTATAAACTCTTCTGCTCGCGATATAAGTTCGATTTTTCCGTTATAAACATGACATGATTGCCGAGTTGATTCACGTATTGAATTTTACACTAAATTTACACCTGAATTTATAAACGATTAAAATTTTGATTTAATTACACGTAAGACCATAAATTTGCAATCATAATAATGTCGAATGTCTTTCTATAACTTTTGGTTTTTCTATTTCACAGACTAACAGCCAAACATTACCGTTCTTCAGATAAACCAAAATGACATCTTCACAGACCTCGACGACATCGGTTCGACAATGTTCCGTCTTGTCGGCCATTCTACTGCTGTTGGTAGCGGTAGTCGCCAGTTTTCCATCAAGTGCTCGGTCATCCGCCATACGTCCTGCGTTGTCCACCGCATCGACCGATGCCGCTGCTTCGCCGTTAGTGCCGAGCAGTTGGCAAGGAGCTTCAGCCAACTACCCTGACGAACCGGCATCGGCCGCCGGAAGGACCGTGGTGGTCCGAAAAAAAAGAACATTGCTCAAACTCAAGCCACTCATCGTACTACCGGTCAAAGTCGCTTTGGGCACCGGCGCCAAGCTAGTGGCCGGGGCTAAGCTCGGAGCCAAAGCTGTTGGATTGGGCTCAAAGGCATTGGGCGTCGGTCTCGTTGGACTGAAAGCCGCCCATAAAGTGACGAAAGTGACAGTAAAGGCTGCCACCGCTCTGGGCGTCAAGGCAGTGTTGCTCAATTTTTTGTTCCAGGTACAATATATCTATAATATTCATGCGTATGCGTCAAGTCAGTGGCGTAGCTATAGTGGATAAATAACCTAACATATGAACAGTAATTCTAAATGTTCGAATATAGAACATRGATTCACTTATAAAAACAGGATACTTATTATATAACACTGTTTCTMATACAATAACTAGCTGTGACATTCTTGCAGCATGTGCAGGTCCAGCCCACACCATATTTTTCCCATTCGTACCTTAACACAATAATAATGAAAACTGATCGCGTCATTGTATTTATTTATTATTACGTGTCTGCAGAAAATCAATCAGGTGATCGATTTCAAGACCCGCTTGCTCAGCAACCTTGACCAGCGCAACCGGCAACAAAATGCACAATTCCTGTCACCAGTGTTGCCTCAATCCTCTTCGTCTTCAAAATCGGGATCGATTGGAAACAAGGTAAGCCTTCAGTGATACACGGATATATCGTGCATTCATTATTAGCATGTGCATATTCATAAAAAATATAGCTGTAATATATATAATATTTTAATGTACACTGGTACATGGTGAGAAAGCACGGAGTGGATATGAGTGGTATTACCGTATTGACGTATTTTGTAGACTACTAAAGAAGTACTTAGTATAGTGCTCGACTTGGGAAATACCCCAACTAATTTTTCAGAAATTTTCGCGTACTGCTACTTTTATTTTTAAGGGGAACGCACGGGACGCTGCATCATAAAAATGCACGTGATAACATAATAATTTTTTTCTATGTAAAACCTTGGATAGTAAATGGTAAAAAAGATTCAGAAGACAACCGTTGTCCAAAAAGGATAAAATTGTAAGATAAGAAAGAACATATACATATGATAAATTATGGAACTATTTAAATAAATAGTTAAAATGAATTGTTTTTTACTTCGTTTTTTTTTTAGTTTGTTATTATATTTTATAAATTATAACTATAATATTCAATATAATATTTGTAGTAATATTTTTTTAATTTTATTATTTATAAATATTATTTATATGATTTAAAGAAGGGCATTAGGGGGTGTGGGGGCGTACTCCCGTGGCTTAGAACGTTTAACAAGTGATGAAGACGCTCTTTTTTTAAAGTTAATAAAGTCCCTCTACCTTATTATTACCAAGTCGAGCACTGCCTATACAGTAGTATTAATTTACAGTGATAGAGAACGAAAAAGACGTGGAAGCGATTGGTGTTGTAGTCGAGACTTTATAGTGGAGGGTCAATCCGAAACATTATTACAACTTACCAATTATGTTTACCTATCGTATACAATTTGTAACCTAATGGTGAACAAAATGTTTCATAACAGAGCCTAAGATGTGTGATATAGTGGTAGTCAGAGTTGAATCAATGAGCAGTGATCCATCATATACTTACTATACAGAAAGAGGAAAGTTTTTACCACTCATATACCTACATGATTTATAAATTATTATACAGTTTAGGTATAGTCTGTATCTGTTACATACCACTTTGTGTACGCCACGCACTTCACAGTATTTTGTACTCACATATATAGTAAATATTATATACATATACAGTGGATTTTCAATAATTTGAATATAAATTGCATTAATCATAAAAAATAAAATATTACGATTTCAATAAATAAAAAAGTAATTCAAACAAAAAATACCTACGCTAACGTAGGCATTTATAGTTTCATTTTAATAAAAATAGTCGAATCAAAAATTTTTAAACTCGTATATTAAGAAAAAACAAAGTCATCCCAAACTAGATTTATTTTGTTTAATTTTATGTGAAATAAGTCTATTAACTATTTGAGTTTCTAGCTGACTTATAGCGTGTTACAATGCAACAATATGAGCTTTAACATGAGCTTAATTATTGTTAAACCACTGTATACGTATATAAAAAACGTATAACCATGAGCACTTGTACAATATTACACTAACCTTTTATATACTTATACACTATATTTTAACAATCACCACCGGCACCAACGTCAACTATACACCAAATAACCCTCCCACAACCATACTTTCGCCTCTATTTCTTCGTTACAAAATATAATTTATACGCTTGTAGAATACAAGTACAGGTCACCTATATACTACCTATAGTATTATAATGTTATCTAATATTTATGTGTACAAATCGTATGAATTGGTACGGTTAATGTGTAATGATTGTAAAATTTGTACTTTATTACTATCATAAAAATACTATACGACAAATTATGAATAGACTACAAATAAATACTATACCTACAAAATGCAGCATCATATTATACGATGACGATAGAATTCAATAATATTAAGTAACTTGATCATATGCGTTTGTGACAATGGTAGTGATACTAGAATACTACAATATATATAATTTCTCATATTCATATATGTATTAAATATATGCATAGCATACGACGAGGATGAAGACGACGGTAAGTGATTATGACGACATTTGTATTAATTATATAATGTGAATTTTAAATTCACACATACGGACCTATATAAATATACGATTATACCTGCAGTACGATGACGAGAAGAAAATATTATACAAAAAACTCTCACTAAAACCGACGAAAACAACAACAACAAAACGGCGGAGACATTTAAAACATATTCTATATATTATTATATAGGTGCTAAAAATTAAATACAAAATATCTTTGGCGGAACGGCTTCGATGGAGATTATAAACGGTACTATATTATGTTGAATACATCATTGTTATACTTATATATTTTATGCAGTATTACATTATGATATGGGTAATAAAGACGTACATAATATTATACATTATTCGATTACGGGATTTTATATTCGGATGTTGCCAGTATTTTATTCTTCGTAGAAAAAATGTATGAAATGATTTATATATTATATTTCATATTACTTATTATATTAAATTAATAATAAATCAGCTAATGAATTCGAAATAAACTATTACAAATAATAAATCAGCGCCTAAACAAAAATATAAAACTTGTTTTAAAAATTTCAGTTTTTCTTCGTAGGCAATTTTGAACGTCTTGTTCAACAGTTATAGAACCAACATTAAATTAAATTTTTAATTCGTTTGTAGCTGGGTGTTATTGTAGGAAAAACCCTAAAACTTTATAATGTTAAATAAATATTTTATCGATACCTACACCTAATTTATTTATTGCTCTGTTACTAAAATACGACATAAAATGACAATTATTACGACGAYGACTTTTTAAATGCACGTCTGTGCAGCTGTATGCGTGTGTCATGTGTGTTTACGTATGTGTCTGATCATGCGCGCGTGTAGGCATGTTAGAGGGTGTGTGTGTGTGTGTGTGTGCGCGCGCGCGTGCAGAAAAAAGCGTACAAAATAGTATAGTTTTATGAACTAATAGCTAATAATATTATTATATTTAATTCAGTGCTTGGAAAACTTAATACCTAGCGACTGATAAATGTGGTCAACATTGATGTATACCTTTTCCCATGATTGCTCATAATATTAATTATAAAATCGTATGTCAASAGTAGACAAGAGTTTCAATACATTGAAAACTTCACATTCACTTTTTAACCGAATCTAATATCAATACTTGGATTGTAATTACCAATTCACTTTCAAACTGTAGCTGATAAATTTACCTATACAGCTATACAGTATAAATAGATAAACGTGATAACATATTAATTACACTACTATGGTGCCGATTGATAATTTCATAATGATTACCTATATAATTATTAAATTGTGTACGATAGCCGACACAATTCTCTTTGTTTTCTTTTATCTTCTTACGGCATAATCAATATCGACAATAATTTCAATTCTCTGATACTATTTTATTATTATCTATGGCTAAACATCACATTTAAACGCTAAAAATTCGAGTAAAGTATTAACCGAAACGCAATTCATGGATAAATGGAATTATATTAATAAAACTATGAAGTAGTTTGCGTCATATGCTGGTTTAACCACATAACTGAATTCTGGCACTGAATTTATAATTTATTATTAAATAATAAAAAATATATATACTATGAATAACATCCAACGACGAATGTRTGTCTGTGTGCGTGTGTGTGTGTTTAGGACAACGCCACCGGTGCCGCAGCTTTTGTCCCTGCACCGGACTTTGTGGCTGCCCCTGATACTACGGGGTTCGTCACGAACGCGCCATCGCCTGCAGCACCAGCTTTCGTACCAGGATCAGACCTGATCGCTTCGCCACCACCACCATCATCACAGCCAGATTTTGATGGACCCCCATCGGACTTTGTCGGTACCCCGACAAATTTTGATAGCACTTCATCGAGCTTTGGCGGCGCTTCTTCTGGATTTCCCGCTTTCCAGCCGAGCTTTGCCTCCGAACCTTCAGGTTTTGCAGCAACAAACGACGACGGATCGCCATCGTCAGAGACGTCTTTCTAGAAATATGCATGTTCTCGTCATCGTCATATCGTCGTCTCCTCGATCGCATCCACACTTGCCAATCACACCGCCATTATATTTGCCATAAATCATAATTGTCATTTATATAATTATATATCATCCATAATTATATGATTATAAATCATAATCATACACACACACATATATATATATATATAAGTATAGTCATAACGTATATAGTCATAACTCATAGAGAATAATTTAAGTTTTTGTATAGTAACTGGTTATATGCGTAATTAAGGGATACTTATGTAGTTATGTGTGATTAGCTCCTTCATAAACTATGCAATTAGTAGACTAACTGAAAAAATAGAGAGATCCAGCATATCACTAGTTTTTTATCGAAATTATGTCACTAATACACAAGGTAGATAGTATGTACCCGGTACCGTAATGCATTTTTATGACAATTTAGCCACACATACACTCAAGTGTAACGGATAATCAAAAATTTCGTTTTTTATAACATTATGTAATATTTAGGTATATTAACGCATATTAATTGCATATATTATTATATTATCACAAATCTAAAATTCACGTAAGTAAATTATTTTAACGTTCAACAATGGTCACACGTCTTATAAATTATAATAAAATATCACGAAGTTAATGTTTATTATAGTATGATATACTCGTATATACTTACATAATGAATACCTAATAATTTGCATATACAGGTTCACGAGACTACGTGAGCATCTTAAAATATGAATGTGTTTTATATATAATATGTTATAATACTATACACCACCGAGGTTCAGTGATGATTAAACTTCACTTTCATACACATTCATACATGTTGATTATGGTTGTTTCAACATCCAATAATGTAGGTAGTGTACAATCACTATCGTCTCTTCTTCATCGCCGCCGTTTTCATAATTTGTATTATTTAGGCACGAGTGCTGTTCGCAGGATTTTTAACTATCCTTTCATCACACTAGTAATCATTATAATTATCATACTAGGTATTAAACCGCATTATCGTTTGCACGATTTTCAATTTTCATCG